TTGGGGTGAAACGATAGAGGAGTTTCATTCACATTCGGTCCAGATGTCGTATCAAAGTTCCTGAATCGTCACGACATGGATCTCATATGCAGGGCACATCAAGTAGTCGAAGACGGTTACGAGTTCTTCGCCAAACGACAACTCGTCACGCTTTTCTCTGCGCCAAATTACTGTGGCGAATTCGACAATGCTGGCGGAATGATGAGTGTTGACGAAACGTTGATGTGCAGTTTTCAGGTAATTGACAGAATAATTTTATTTTCAGTTCTTAATATTGCTGATATAATATTTCAAATTTATTGTTTTGCATCTTTTTGCAGATCTTGAAACCATCAGAGAAGAAAGCAAAATACCAGTATGGAGGAATGAACACGGGTCAAGCAGGTAGACCATCTACACCACAAAGGAATCCAGCGAAAAAGAAATGACAGCCTTCAACCGAACCTGCACAACAAACGCGATTATCTTTAATGGAGGCTATCATGCTAGGTAAATCTGCTTTATGCCTGTCAAAGCTTACTTAATCATTCTAGCTGACCACTTATGTGCATTATTACGAATCTATTTCCCATGATTATCAGTTAAATGGAAAAATACAAAAAATAAAAAAATAAAAAAATTAAAAAAAAGGAACAAAAGGAGAACAGAAGGAAATGGAATGTAGGACGTTACTCGATATATCTAAGTTCGCGCAACGATTTGCCGATGATTTGAATGTTATATTTAGCACGCGATGTTTCCAACACATGTACACATATAATGCACTCCGGGGCGGACATGATTTAAATGGACGTGATTTATATGGCAAAGATACATTAATGGATTCATTCACTTGGACTGGACTTGCGAAAATTCTTAATGCTTTATAGCCAACGCGCTTGTCAAAGAGCGCCTCGGATGCTATGTATCTGATCTAGCCTTTGATTTTCATGTGTTTCAGCACGAAGACGTCGAGATACAGAATTAACCTAATCTGATAAACATAAAGAAAAAGCTAAAAAAATGTATAAGATTTACCTCTCCTACAATTGCATTTTAATGAAATAAGAAATATAAACAAATCCGCGGTGAAGTTTTGATTATCATCATACACTTGACGAAGAATCGCTCTTAGAATTTCACAATTATTATTCGGTGGTATTTTCCATAAATACGAAGCGGTTTTTTGTAAAGTTAGCGCTTTTTAAGAAGCATTTCGTCATTCTCATTTGTATTTATTGCTTCCACTGTTGATGTTGAGTGTAATTATGAGACTCGCTGTTATTATTATTAATATTATTTTTATTTTAATAGTATTTTTATCATTGCTTTAGCAGATAATTTAAATGTCATCGTTTCATGAAAGATGCTGCGCGTGTATATATATATATATATATATATATATATTATTTTATTTTTTTTTGTGTATCATTTATTTTTTTCTCTTAGATCATTATCAATTACGAATTTAATTATGTCGTCATGTGCAGTGTTCCAAACGTGGTAGTGACTGCACATTTCAGAGATATGTCATAGACAACAAATTAGGTTGTTTATTCTCGGGCGATGAATCCGGAGAGAAACACAGAGAACTAGTATTTTTAAAATAAACATTAACGTTTATGCCTTTATTCAAAAGATACTGGAAGGCGGGAGGATCATGAAGAAGAGAAAAACGAGGACATGTCATGTTGTATACAGAGAAAAACATATTTAAGAAGAGAAAAGAATCTCAGCTTTTTCATGCTCGTAATAAAAAACGAATGCAAATACAAATGTACATTACTATTTGAATCATGATTTGTCGCATATTGCAATGTTTATATTAAATTGCACAAATCTCTTAGAAATGATTTTATATGTGGATTTGTATATTTCGGTTATAATGAATTAAAATTTTGTTATAATATATACGTTTATGCTTATATGTATTAGACGTAAGATATATCCACGTGCTAGAGAAGATAAAATTCACTAATTTTTTCAATAAGAAAGGATGATGGCAGACCGCATTTAGACATTTAATGCATTTATTTAAACATATTTATAGCATATATTTGTTCTTTTTTCTCTTTCGTTTTTTTTCCATTGTTCGCTCAAGTATTTCACATATTGTAACGCTGACTTTGTCGCTGCAGGAATCACTGCAGTAATACGATTGTATAACAAACTGCTTTAACACAATATATCGATCGTAATCTATACAGTAAAAGTCACGTTGGAAAAATATTTGATTTGACAAGAATATTGTTCGTGAATGTTACATCATAGTACAGGAATCTTGGAAATCATTTTACGTATGTTTTTAAAAAAAAAAATTTTCAAATCCTTTAACAAAAGCGGCGACCGATTAGATAGTAATGACATCCGAGATTGTATTCTTAGCAAGGATATATCTTTCTACAGTAAGCGCGTTTGTCGACAATTAAATGCAGATTAACGATTAACGAGGTTGTGTCGTGCGAAATATGATTGAGGAGACGATTCGGAAACACGAAGGCTGTACATCAAAATTGAAAACTCACTACGAAGCAAAGATCAATCAAACGCAATGAATCTTCATTTAGCGGTGACGCCACGATTGGTTCTCATATTATTACGTTATAATGTCATATGGTTACTTATTTTATTTCATTGTTATCTAACATTATTGAATATTTATAGTGATCGATAAAATTATTTATTGTTCGATGTACGAGAGAGACAGTGCGAATTTGTTATGTCTTGGAGCTGAAGCCGACAACAAAACGGAAGGTGTCCTTTCCACCTTCCCCTTTCCCTGCATTTCTCCCCCCAATCCTCTAAAAAAGAAACGCAAAGTTAATTATATTGTCAAAGGAGCGGTTGTGATTCCTTGATATGCGTTTTCTTTTTGTCCGAGATTCATATATTATATACAGATATTATATTTGTAAAGGGTTAGTCGATCGCGATTCGACGATACTTTATTAAATAAATAAAAGAAAGACGCTCTCGTGAGAGGAGTTTGCGATTATCATGGGTTGTTACATCGTTCGAATCGCTGACGACGGAACACGCCATGCAATGGCATCCTAGAGATGTAAAACTTTCAGATAATAAACATGCATATTGTTGTACAAATTCCTCTTTCAGCTTTTTATCCTGTTTCTTCAACAGAAGATCTCATCCTGATTATATATATATATATGATAAAATATATATAGGTATTTATAAGTTAATGAGAGAATATTATATTTCTTGATTTTCAAAATTTTAATTATTAAAAAAGGTATAAGAAATTTTGTTATGTTTTTAAGGATTAGAATTAGATTTAAATTTTACATTACGAATTTAGAAATAATCGTTTAAAATATATTTTATATTTCAGTAATTGCATTCAGTTGTCTATATATTTTATGATTATTACGTTTTAATTTATTGAAATTAATAACGAATCAAATAATTATACTGTTATTATTATACGTTATCACAATCAATGAGAATATTATTTTAAAAATTGATATCTGAAAAGAAAATGGAATTGGATAAATTGACTACTCAGTAATAAACTTTTGGCAGTGTTTATTTTATTTTTCAGATTATGGATGAACAGTAACAATAAATATATGACGAGAAATGTCAATAAATAAATAAAATTTCGTGGAAACGATATGCACTGATATGATAGAAACGCCAAAATTCTTTCGGGACATGATGTAAGTTTTCTTTCTTTTTTTGATTGACCTTTTCAGCCATCATTTTTTCTTTTTTTATGTCGTTTTTTTTGTTTCACGCTTTCCGTGTGGCACCAGGCAGTCATCAGTAAGCGTAAGCTGCAAAAAGAGAAACGCGTTGATCAAATATGAAAAGCTGAAACATCAATCACGCGCACTTATGGAAAAATATTTAAAAATACGATAAAGATAATAAATAAGAAATCATATGTAATGATGTTGATTAATCGCGCTTATCAATGCGACATTAAGATAAGTTCAATTTTTAATTTATTATTTTTCCATAAGAGTCTAATTTCGAAATTTCTACAAAAGGAAGAAGTATATAAAGTAAAAATCGATATGTGACATGACAAATAAATACAAAATTTTTAAAATTAAAAATTTGCCATTTGATATTTGCTTAGCAAATCAATTCTTCTAATTAATTTTCAAACCGTACGTCCTTTTGTGGAAATTTTCACAAAATTTAACAGAATGATTTCATGGAATTTTTATACAAGTTAAATATTAAAAAACTCATAGGTGTTTTTTTACATGTTCTCGTATACGGTGTAATGTTTCGACTATACTGATAATGGCAGTTAGTTATATATAAACACGGTAGTAAGGCATTACATTAGCAAATAGCAAGCTACAATTATGAGTGGTAACTTGAACTATTCTACGCGATATTTAATATGTTGATGTATTAATTATAGACAGCATACTACATCGGACAGAAATATTACACCGCGAACGAGGTCTCCTAGTAGAGGTTGTCTGGGGATATTTGAGACATAAATAATCGATACACAGGTATCTCATTGAAAAAAACTTGAAGTATAATGTACATATTAGTCGACTGAAAATATATGTACAGAAACAAATAAAATGATAGGATATTCGTAAAATATAGGCTTTCAAGTCATGTACAGCTCATCATGAGATATGTTGATTGTAAAACAACTTTTGATTAGATGATTACGTTCGATTACGATTATGTGAGGAATTAGGATGATGTTTCGTTAACGAAACCCTTCGGCTACGACGCTTCTGGACTGCCGCTTTTGTCTTCGAGGACAGCCGAAAACAATTCATCTTTGCTAAACGTTGATCTCACAAGCAAGTGAGTGCTATGATTTGCGACTGCTAATAATCGCGGGCGATATATTGATTTTATTAACACTAGAAGATATACAAGCTTCCGCCACGTTGAAAAAAAATCTATTGTCTTTCTTATATTTATTTTTACTTAATCGCAAAATAATTAAATTTGTGAAATTAATAGTAAGACATGGATTTTCTTGTCTCCTTTCTCTCTTTCCACCTCTTTTTATTGATATTACAGTTATAAAAATTTCGTAAAAAGATTTCCTAGTTGTTTAAAAAAAAAGTTAGACTTAAAATCAAATTCTTCTAGTGTTAACAAATAAATGTGGCGAACGTATATCATGCAGCGATCATATCATTTGCGAAACGGAGCTTTTTTAATCACTGTACAAACAATTATTTTCAGGATCAGACAAATGTTGTTGTCGGGCACATACCGCGTGTTCGAGATTCTGTCTGCGGCTCCTCAGCCGAAGTAACGGCTCGGTAATTAATAATTACCACAATGATTAGGGAATACTGTTGTAACGCACTCTGGAGAAAACATTTGGGAAAAACAAATCTTAATGTTAATGCATGAATACATGTTGTAGTTGGGATTACGCGAGGGGAGGAAATTTTCCGACGAGACTATCGATACAACTAGTTTACAAGAGGAAAGAAATACGTGGTAGCCCAAGGGTTAAGAAGCCCGAATTCTCTTTCATTCAAACAGCCGTCGTAACACGGGCCTATTACAATATGTATACGCTGACTCATCACTCTTATTTGTTACATTCTACTTGCATGTTAATAGCAAATGTAATACGCTTTAATATGACGCAAACGGGAGGACCGTTTTCGGAGTGAATTGTGATGCGCCATCACTATCCCCGCCAACTCTGATTGAGATTATTGATTGTTTGACTTATTAAACGAGTAAATGGGGTGCGGGGGATTCAACACTTCGATTTCACCACTTTAATCTCTTATCTCGCTCACTTTTTTCACTTAATACGTGGTACGTTTATTATACCACGGGCTGGTAAAGTGAAATCGTGGAACTGGCTGCGAATAATAGTAGTATAACGCTCCTGAAATGATAGACATTCGTTTGCTGTAGCATTGGTCTCATTACATTAAATCTGCATCAGGGACACTCTCGGTTTCAAGTCGATAGAGTTGAGTCGTTAATTGAACGTCAATCACTTGTCTTTGGTGAGACCTCAAACAGTATAGAAATCAAAAATGTGTCTAAAAGGTGTCTGAAGAATATTTATGGACGTTAAGGCACCTTTTGGACGTTATTTAAAATTTTCAGTATTCGTGTATGCTATTTAGTTTGTAAGAGAAATGTGTCATGTTCATCTTAAAAAAAAAAAAAAAAAAAAAAAAAAAAAAAAAAAACTAAAAATTAGGTGATTAAGTAAGAACAAAATTTCGCAGTCTATCAAAAAATGTGGAACGCGTTCAAAAAACAAAGCTGGCCCGAAATGTCGATTTCACCAGCTTGGCACCAGGTGTTCTCAATTTTACAGTTCGACGAAGCTGACGGCACGGCGTTGTACCTATGCCAAAATCATCAGCAATACCGTCGAGATGCCAAGTATCTCCGCGACGTATAGCCGCGACGGTTTATATTTTCGATCGAGGTGACAAGCGTAAAGATATTTCGACCCGTTTTCCGATGTCACGACTGACGATGACTTAATTTATGCTCGAATAAGCCAATTCAATTTTTGAGAGAATTTTTAAATATTGATCATACGATCGCTACATATCATTTTCTCATTTTTCTAAATTTTGCCTAAATTTTATATAATCAAATTTAATTATTTTGTTTTAAAAGAAGTCTTCACATTTCTATTCTTAGGAAGATATTCGTTATCCATTTTTTGATCAAAAAATAATCGAAAGTCTTCGTCAGTGGAAACATTGTCCTAAATGTCTAATGGGATTGATAAGCATGAAAAATTATCAAAATCCATTTCGTAACTATGGCTATTCTACTGGTAAAAATATAGACGGCTGAATGAGTTTCAATAGCTCACTAGTATATCACGAAAACGAATGGAAACGAAAAACACTTCTTGCGAAAAAAATCTCGTCTTTCATAAGATTGTGTTTAAACTGTAATTTAACAATGTATATTAATAAATGCATGTCACGAAGGTGCATTATGTTCTAGACTACTGTGCCTTGCTAGTTGACAAAATATAAATTTTTAAAAAATTATGAAGTTATAACAATTTTTACTTCTTGCAATATTAATGTAATCATCATAATTTCTCTAAACCTTCGCAATAGTAGTCTAGATCTAAACATACATTTGCAATTACGAATGTTCTTTTAAAGCCTTTAAAAAGTAACAGTAATCGCAAATATTGTAATTACTGACTACAAATTTATGAAAAATATTCTTTTTATCAAGATTTAAATTCATAAATTATAAAATTTGTAAAATTTTTTTCAATTTGATTCAGAAAATTCAGAAAGTTTAACGCGTAGTATGTTATGCCACAGTCTAACGGAAATTTCACAATGTTTCGACATCTTTTAATAGCATCTGTAGTCAGTGTTTGTCAATGACCAATGCCATAGTACGTCACATAAACTTGTGTAATCGTGATTTACTGCGGCGTAAATTTTTACGTTTGAAATTTTTATGTTTGAAACTGTCATCACTGAATGAATACGATCCGTCGAATTGATACATTTTTATCAATTTAATTTAATAAAAATATTAGATTGGCATTGATCTTTGATCGCCATAAAAAAAAAGAATGATATATTGGGCCAGATAGTCAAGAGGCATACATACCGAAGGGCCTGAAAGGATGTCGGCTCCACAAATAGCTACGTTTAATTGGACTGAGATAGCTATCTCTCAGAAAAAACGGTGTACGGTATTGAGCGTAACTCGGAATATAGGGCGCGTAACTCGGGTACCACCATGGGTCCCTGGTAAACGCACTGATGGGTGCCATTGGTGACGGTTCCAGGAGATCGAAGAGCGGCTTCCTGCGCAGCAAGACCGACGGACGTGGCAAGAAGAAGTCGTCGTCCACGAGATTACCTGCGCACGAGATGAATTTTATTGGAATCGATTGCAGACTGGCTCGTGCGGACAGCGCCGAGCTCTCGCTCCGAGGTAGGTAGATATTGTTTATAAATATATACTAGTTACGCAAGATTGTATACGCGGCTGTAAAGCAACCTTGGGACTCCTCTCGTGAGTTAAAACGAAATATTATTAGCAGCGATTGTTTAGCAAATACTATCTTTACGAGCTACCAAAACCGTTAGAGTGAGATAATTTCTACAAATTAGACTTTCATTAATCACAAAATTGAGATGTGTATCCTTCCATGTATACTTATACTTTGACGTGGTGAGAGAACTCAGCGTCTGAAAGATTTATTCCGTAGGGGAAGCTAAGTATTCGAACGCACGCAAGTGCGATCCGGAAGTCGTGGTACAATCGTATTGTAGTATTGTAAAAATTGTTTCGGAAGTGCCGTATTGAGGTATTGCGCGAATTATATAATTATTTTATTAAATATTCTCTTAAAACACAAATGTGTGTAGAATTTTACGATTAAAATAATTATTTATTAAAATATTTATTATTTTGAACATTGCTATAATTTAGATGTTGATTTGTATTTTACAGATTAACAGTTACATAATCGCAGTTAATAACTCCGCTGCTGTTGCGCATTCATATCGAATCAAAAATCAATTTTAAATTGAGGAAATCTGGATCTATGAAGGTTGTATTAAATATTTTATATTTGTTACTATTCGGTTACGTTAATTTCTTATGCCGTTTTAGTCGATAAATCAAATTGCAAATGATAGATTTAGTATTGATCAGAAAAACATGCGTACAATGGGAGTAATAAATATTTGCGCTTGATACTTACCGTGAATATCGAACAATCGTTTCGTACTGAGCGGTGGGCTTAAATGACGAGCCAAAAGCGGTGATTTGCTTGGGTACATTCTGTCGATGTCCGCCAAGCGATTCAGATGGTCATTCCAAGCCTTCTCAGCGTCGAATGGTTTTGCTGTATCGTGTAATTTCGCCATTCGTGAAAATAAAAATAAAAATCAGCCGATTTATAACTTTATTCGTTTTTCTCGACGAACACATTGCGAACACTTTTTATTTGATTGATACAAATATTAAATAATTCTAATAGCTTCAATTAATTAAATTAAATTAAATACTTCTATTAAACTTTAGCTTTATATAAATTAATTTATATGAAATAATTTTGCTAAATTATAAACTGTTAATATAAAAAATTCACGCATTCGCTACGTTTCGTTCAAGAAAGAAAATATATCAATTATTTTATATAACGTCGAGAATCCGCAAAATTCGTATTATTTTGATTTTTACACACAAATATTATATATAGATACTTGATATACAGATATCTCGAGTAGTTTATAAAAAATGTATCGGACTTCTCGTCGTTAATCACTTTAATCAAGGAAAATTAATAATTAACATAATAGTATAATATTTTTTGATATTTCGATGAAGAAGTTAACATAAAGTCTCATATTTATTCAATCAGTAATTCATTAATATGCGATCGATCTTTTTGATAAATAATTTTTAAAATCTATTTGAAATAATACGTCGTGCCTAATAACACATCAGTATAATTAAATTTGTTTTCATATGGCCTACAGTTTGCCAAATTGATCTCTGGTTGCGCTCCATTTTCTCTTCTCTTAGTGTTTTAGCAAGTAGGCATTTTAACTCAATCATTTTCACAGTATTCGCTTTCGTAATAATATTCGTACTAAGCACGTATACATACATTCATCATGCATGAAACACAACAAGTATTATTAATGAATAATATAAATTATTAAATTAAGATAGATTTTGGGAAGTTATTTAGCGCAAGTTATTTTTTTATAAACATATATGTTCAATTCTGAGAAAAAAATAATAAAACTTACTTAAGTTATACTAGTGCATGATTTTTGTTATTTGTGCGTTAGCGAATGATGGACCTTTAAAATATAATTAATAAGGAGAAGGAAACTTTGTTGACTTGCGATACATCGGCAAGACGAGCCGTTTCAAACTCTCGCTTAAAGTTAAAACTCGGTTTGCCTATAGGAAGTACAGGAAATTAAAATGCTAGGGTTTCATCCCTATTTCATATCGTTAAGCCGTGCGCGTCTAATAAATATTTTCAAGTATTCTCTATATAATAGAAAGTCTACTGACGAAAGCTGGCATAAACTCGCGTCACACACGAGCCTGTGTGTAAAAAAAATCAACGCTGTCACAAAAAAAAATAGCATAACGTCACGTACAGTGAAAAAAGCATACTAACCTGGTGGAAAAAAAGCTGCTTCAAAAAGTCGGTGACGGAAAAAAGGTGCGACGGTTTGTGTTGTCAAAAAACAGCTCGGTTATCAAAATTCGTAAGTGGAAAAGAAATAGAGAGACGATGATTTGTACTGCTAAAATGCGGCTCATATGCCTGATTACAGCTATGATTGCTAAATTATGATTGCTAAATTTATTAAATTTTTTTTTTGTCGTGATTATTAATCGTATGCTTGGTATTACCATTTAAGCTAGGCACTAAGCTCGGCACTAGCAATAAATGTCGATTTCGTAAGGCTATCAATTTTTGACTGCTTTTGCTTAATAACGCTATTAGTCCTGCCAATGTTATTAAATTTATCTAATGTTAAATTAAATATTTATTGATTAATCTTCCTTCAAATAAAAATAATGATCGATATATTAATAATTTGAATTTTATTATTTTAAATTTATAAACTTGTAAATATTGCAGTTATGATATTTTTTTCTCGTTATTAATGCTACAATCTCTCATAATTCACCAATTTTCTGTTTGTCATAAGTTAATCGACCACACTGCCTAAGCTTGAATAAATTATGAAATTTTTTATTAAAGATCGGTACGTACTAAAATTCAGCCGTGTAATCCGATGTGAACTATGTACAGGATTCATGGCAATCCTGTAGGCATATTGCGACGATCCGTATACATCCGTGTAATCATCATAGATTAGCAGTCGTTAATTATGCAATTCCAGTTATAAAAAAGTCATGTTTGGCGCAGGTGGATCACTTAAAAGCTAGAAACGGGGTTTTGGGGTGGTTGGGGATCGGAAATTAACGAAAGAAAAGTACATGCCATATCCTGAAAAAGATAGAAATTTTTGGATCTGGTTGTAATTAATTGCACGTTAATTTATCTATTGTTAGTAAATACGCGTGCATGTATTATTGCCGATTAGAGCATGTATTAAAAAAAAACTTTCGATTTTTCTTTGTATCAACTTGGATCTCCCATATCTGTAATTTTACTTTATCAGTATTACCTGTTGTTTTTAATTGCTTGGAACGGTAAATGTATAAATAACATAAAGTGTATGTTGTTAAAGAAGTTTCTGTCAATCACATATAAATGTAATTTGGTGTGTATACTTGTACTATTTTTTACTGTATTTACACTAGATATATATGCATTAATAATTGAAATATTTTAGAAATATTTTTTTATGGGAGACAGGAGATAATGTAGTATCTGAAAAATCGAAAGCGCAAATTAGAACGCGTAAGCGTCGAGAGAAAATTTCCAGCTTTTTCAAGTTTTGGCGGCCATGTTCTATTTCAGTTTATTATTTCTTTTTCAAAAATTTTTTTTAAAAAGGAGAATTTTTCGCCATCTCTCTGTCCACATACGCACGATTGCGGACGTACTATTCTTTTTTGACAGAATTATACGTCCATCACGCATTCTGTGCGAGTCGCAGTTCTATTTTATTTTCATAATAATTGTGTTGCTCAAAATAGCGCGCATAACAATCAAAAAAATTAATTTTTTTTCAACGTTTTATCCCATTTTCGATTCTCTTTTTTATGGCTCCTTTTCAGCTCATTGGTTTTTCACAGTTTTTCAAGCTGCGACCTCCACCTCAGCTGTAAGAGTTAAGGATTCCTCAATACTGCGTGCCCGTATCCTGACCCTGTGATTGTCTCATATCGCAAATTACGAATTGAAAAATAGAATTACGCATTACACAAATTATAAAAAGAAATGAATATTTTCTTCTCTTTCTTGATCTTTTCCAGCTTATTATTTTAAAACATAACACGATTAGATCTTTCATTATATTTAAAATGAATTGTTTTCAAATATAATTTCAAATACTTTGATATATTTTATTAATTAATATAATTATTATATAAAATATAATCAAAATATTATATGTTCAAGATGATAAATTAATCCATTGTTATATTTATTTGTATATATTTATTTTACAAATTTGGCGATATTATTTAATATTATCAGGCTGGAAAAGAGATAATAAATTTAAAAGTAAAATATTTTTGCAATGAAAATGTTTTTGATAAAAAAAATTTACTCATAATGTTTTCAATTCGTTTGTAAATTTCTAAATTAAAGTCTAACAATTTTCTACTTCTCTCTCATTCTCATATCATATAATTTTGTATTTTGGTTTTTAGTCATTTGGTCAGTATTTTAAAATGGCTTTATATTGTTTCTTTCCACGATGAATTTATATCCGTGAAAAGTCGTGAAGTTCTCTCGACTATTGTTTTTAATACGTCGAAAAGAGGACGGAATTTTATGCAGGATTTTGTTATGAGATTGTGTCTTGATTATAAATTAATTATCAAAAAGTAGCTAATATTTTATAAATAATAATTGTAGCATATGATTGTCAGATGTGGTTTGTATCTGTAATTTTATTGCTATACTTAAATTTAATAAAAAATTATGCTATTATAGAATATTTAGAATATTTATCATGATTCAAAAGTATACTCTAAATGCATGATTATGCATTAATTTAATTTGTCTGAATATCATAATAATATATAATTGATAATCAAATTAAAAATTTGAAAAAATATGATTATGATGAATATTTAAGATGACCCAAAAATTGCACGTTAACTAAATCATCTCTTTACAATATATCACGTTACAACAATTATATTAATTCGTTCGAGAATTAAAACGTCATATTTAATTCTGTACTTAATAAAATTGTATAAAAAAATGGTCAAAAAACTTGCGAGTGAGTAACTATATTTATAGCGAATAACTTGTTCATACGTTTTAAAAAAGCACTACGTTAGCGATTGCAAAACCACGCGGAAAAATTTATTAGACATTAAAACGTTAAGCAATTACTCGTTTGCACACCTATGGGTGGAAGAGTGCGTATGTATATATGTAGTGTAATATGATATTTGTAAATGTAAGGGATCGTACGTAAGCGGGTTTATTGGGAACGTGCATGTGACTGATTAGTCGATCGTTTTTCGTAAACAATGACGTCGCGCTCGGGAGGTGAGCATGATTCGCTCTTTGGTCTCCCATTTTCGAGAGATCTGTTGACGTCTAAGGTCGCTCAAATCGATGATGCGATTCAGTATTAGCCACTTGTTGGGTCTAGCGCCTGGAAATCAGAAATCAGAATCTGCTCAGCGGCATGCGAGATCGCGCTAATCGACAGTGATGCCCCACTTTGATGACTCTGAATCGTTACTGGACATACGGCGAACTAGGAAATGCTTTCTCTCTAGAGACGAGTCACAGGGCGACACCTCGGGCACGACACGCATGATCCACGTGTGATCCATGATCGATGGAACGATGTGCGATGATCCGTGATGCCTGAATGCTCGATTCAACGTTAGGGATGGTATCAATAATGATCGATTTGCTGATATAGCTGCTTGTTAAAGTTAAATGATTGGTCTGGTCATTAAAAATATATGATTAGAAATGAGAAATTTTTTTATTATTATAGTGAAAAAATTTTATTTATCACGTTTATTTGATTTTACTGAATAATGAAGATTTATTTAATGGATTATTTTGATATTATTTTGATGTTTCAAATGACAAATTACATTTACGTCATAATGATTTAAAATTTATCAAATTAGGATATTATTAAATATACGATAATGAAAGGTGATGTTAATTTAATGCAGAAAAACTTGGGGCGATTGTAATATTTGTTATAATTCGATTTATCAAATATATCATATTGAAATCAATCGCAATAATGGCTTTAAATAATCAATTAAATTAATATTCTATTACAGTCCGCTCCAAATTTTCCTAATTGTGATTATATGACAAGCATTTTATCATAAGTCATGTCAATTCGAATTCGATCTTGATCAGTTAATTAGGATCAGTCAAGGATGTATCTATAAGTGGAGCGTCGCGAGGCAGAGAAGTCTTCAGATATTGAAACATATTGTACATATATTTGTACGTACGTAAATGTGTTCTCATATAGCGATATATAAGTATAATAACTTAGATATAAAGAGAGACGCGTAAAATAATTAGTATTACACATGGTGCGTGATATGAAGGTAGACACGATTATTATTACGATTTACAATGAAACTAAACAAACGGTCCGATTGACACGTACGTTCAAGAAGTTGCACACGCATTTTACACAACGGAGTAACGACACATGACGTAAAGTCGGGATTCAGGGGGGGCGAGTTTGGCGGATAAGGGGGTGATAAGTCCGTTTTCTGATAATTTCTTTTTTCCTCGGTTAAGTGTGCAGGCAAGGTGGGGGATAAGAATGTGATGTACGGTAACCTCTCCGGGGGAGGCGTTTCTGGCTTCTGAGAAAGGCCCGGAGAGCCGCGTGCATGCGTAAGATGCGTAAGATGTCTTTCTCTCGAAAATGGAATCGTTTCATTCCGCTTTGATCATCCCCTTTAGAATGCCGGCCAGAAGCCAAAAGCACCGGGTTATACATCGAGAACTTAATTCTAGGAAGGTCCACGAGAACAAGTATAGTTATTTGTTAACACATTTCGGTATGGTACGCCTTGATGATATTCATAATCCACTCTGTGCGTTCATGCTCATTTCTTACTCTCGTTTTTCGGTTCTACTTTATTCCGCTCGTTCTGTTTTTCGTCGCGTTTCTCGTTCTCCCATCTTTTCTCATTTTCTCTCACACTCTCTGTCTTTCTCTCTCTTTCTCTTTTTCTCATTCTCGCTCTCTCTCTCGCTCTCGTTCGAGGTATTATAAGAGTTTTCGTTTCGTTTCGCGCTTTCGATTCTTTCTCTAAGATGCCGTTCACTCTCTTTTGGACTCTTTTGGTCACAGTTCTTTAGTACGTACCGGGGGTGAAGCGTTCTACGGGTTTGTACTGATGGGGACTACAACTGCCTTGGCGAATAACCGTAGATCTCACGATGCACGGGCAAATACCTAAAGCGAAAAGTCATTATTAATGACCTAATTTACAATATCTAATATTTAAGAAATATTTCTAAATTTTACGATCAAAAGTAAAGCATTCGATATGTTAGACAAGTATGACATTCTGCCGTTATATTGATTATTAATCACTCGAAAATTGGAGTAAAATTTCGCAAAGTAGGCCGGCACACATATATTTAGATTTCCGTGTTTTTGGATGTCTGCCAAGAATCGATAGACAAGATGATATCAAGAACACATTCATTATACAACTAAAGCTAGACACAATTATTTAAAAAAGATGCTATATATAATATAATACATTTCCGTTTTGTATATTTTGGTAATCTCTAATTTATAATTTTAATAACTCTTATCAATCACTTCATTCGTGGAACGAACGAATGAGATGAAAGAAGAATATGATTTGCGTACACACCTGTATCCGGGAACATTAATACGGTCGGCTGCGTGAATCGGGTTTTCGTAGATTGACTTTCCAAACGGCCACGAGGTGGAATGCAGCTCAGGAAAATCCGAGCGGAAAATGCCGCGGGGCCTGTGAGTGTGCTCGGGAGCTTTGATGTCATCAGTGCCTGTTTCCGTTTTGTATCATTAAAATAATCTCTCTGATGTTTTTTTTTCTTCATACATTTGATAAAATACAATATTAAAGTTGAATTAAAAAAAATATACATGTAATTATTCTTTATCGCAAATCACCCTGTACATAAACGCAGAATAGAACAGTCGTTGGAAAATTAAGGAGAGATAGATAATTCCGTGTGCGTTGAGATGAGCGTCTCACCTTTCAGAGCCCGTACATAACTCTGCCAAAATTTCGCCTTCCTTGTGATGGGCTCGTTGCGCCCGATCATATCGAGGTTGCTTCTGAATCGCGCATCCATTTTGCCACTCTACTGAACTGCTAACCACACTCGTTCGCTGTAATAAGTGAAAAAAGAAAACAGGTAATTAAATTGCAGCTCGCAATTTTCATCACGTTAAATTTACGCTAAATTTACGAATCGCGTAAACATAAAAACGATTGATCTGATTTTGAGAATATAATAATTTCTAATTTTTATGTTGCAACATGTAAAGATGTATCTTTTAACGTTCTTCAATCTAAAAAATGTTCTCTTTCTTTTAATCTCTTTTAATCTCTGCATGTATGACATTTGCAATTAGCAATTAATTAAGTTACAATAAAATAGGAAACATATAAAATGTAGCAAACGAATAAAATTATGTCCATTAAAATTTTGTTAGTGCAAGAAGACTTTGTTGATTATTTTTCGAATAAGAGAAAAAATATTAAATTACGGAACTTTTTAAATATAGTTAGAAGCAGAGCTTCTATGAGAAAATTTTGCAATAGGCGCTACACAAAATTCTTGCGGCTCAAGCCATGATTGCATAAGCCACCTTAAATTTAACAGCTTGCGTGTGGGTGTGCTTTTTTAACCTTGCCTCGATAAACTGTATCCCATTTCCGCGATCCATTATCATGACGCATTCATTTCCTTTTATTTATTCATAATATAAGTTAATTCCGGTACATGAATTCATAGATCAGCCCTTGTTTAATCAATTATATCCTTTTTTTTCATTCTTTTTTTTAAATTTGTTGATTTTAGAAACTGTTACTCGTAATATTTGTTTTTAAAAATCGTCTTTCACAAATATTGAAAATATAAAGAGATTGTTAAAAACTGTTACATCATCATATTTAATTATTAAAACTCTTTAGTAATGTTAGACGATATGAGAAAAGTTTGGAAGATATAAATTAAACTATTTTTATTTTCCATACTATGCGTTTCTGTACTATGCGTTATTTCATTCAACATTTTTTTTAAATCACACGAAAATTATTACAATGATATAATGCATTTTATCTTTAAACTAGACTGACATATTGATAAATTGACGGCGTTAAATTTGAGATTTGTAATTCAAAAATTGTCACGTAGCTTTCTTTTCGATCGCGTGAGAAAGCAAGATTGGTTTCTTGCGTCGGCCAATCGTAGCCTGTGACACAAAACGGGAGCATCGTTTTTCTTTTTGTTGACGCAACGTACGCTAATTTTAGCGTCACGTGTATTTTATAGTCGCCCTGGATCGCCCGAACGGTTTCGCAGATATTCCTGTTTCATTCTCGGCGAGAATGGCTGAAGGTCGCGAAAATGAAGTGAAAATGGGGTTGCCCGCCGTGTTGATTTTATTCAAAAAATGTATCTGACTCATTTGTATTAAATGTATGTAAATGTGGTATGATTTGAACGTATGATATTATATTTTTGATGTAAATATCGGGTTCGATTTTTTTTAAGATATATATATCTATTTTTTCATTGTAAATAATTTCAAAATTTGTAAAATAATTTCAAGATTATTATTATTTCAAAATAATTTAAAAAATATTCTGACATTGTTTTGTTCACTGAGCTAGCTTCTAGTTTTCAGTGAGTCTAATTTTCACTAGATAGCTCATTGAAAACTAGAAGCAATTTATTTCTCAACTTTTACAAAATATATATGCATATGTGGTGTGTAATAATAACAATTTAATTAAAACAAAATTTTTAAGAATAAGTATATGCAAATTAAGAGAATTAAATTTAAATCAATTTTTTTAGGCTTTTATAAGTCCGATTGTTGAATTGAATTCTTCAATTTCATCTTAGATCAAAGATGATTTATTTACAAAGTATGAGAGATAAACAAGTCCCTAAAATTTTCGTAATTCGTTCTCCAGTCTGCATTCTCGAGTAGACAAAAAGGAAGGCGTCGCGGCGCTCAGAAGCGACGCACCGTGACGCAAGAGTCCCGGATTCGTGGTCGCTATATTTAGGTTGCCCGGGCCCCGGTCCGTTTTTAGTTGGTAACAGGTGGAAGCGTCAAGAGAAGCTACGCTCGAAGCAACATAGTCGACGAGTCTCCGTCTGACTTTGACCGATTTTCGTGAACCCCCATTAGAGACTCATGGTACCGGTGTGTCCCGACGATAATGACCTCGTAAAATCCGTCGTAGCCATGGTAATTTCAACATCGGACCTCGACGAACACATACAATTCAAAATTTATAACTATATGATCTTAATTATATCTTGTAAATTGAAGATCATGAAAATTATAAAGATTATAAAGATTTGGAGAATAATTTTTTATTTCACGAATTCGAAAATATTTTTTTTATACAAAAATATATATAAAATATATTAACAGCGTATTGAGTTAGGCATAAAACGAAATTTTTGAAATGGCGCGTTCAGAATCTTAATCTTTTAACTCATCGCAGCTACTTCTAGCTAAATCGTCCAAGAATATCTTGACCTTAAAATCGTATTTGCGTGAACACAGGCCAAGCTACGAATGTTTGATATGCTAATCAATTTGCGTAGATTCTATGTCAAAGTAGAGTTAAGAGAGATTTAGCAAATATTTTTAAAGGCTAAATGTTATATATAATAAGAAGTTGATTAAAAATGTGAGTGCGAGAAGGTAGCGTTCGATGAAAGTAATTGTAATTTTGTTTTGTATAATCAAACGAGGAATGCTGGAAGAAAAACAAAGTTGAAAGACAGGTCTCAGTAAAAGAGAGAAAATCCTCATTCGGAGCGTGGTAATCTAGATGACTTCTAAAAATATATATATATATATCTTTCATGGCGCGGTCAAAACAGATCATCCGGATCCAAAAATTACAATGTCTCACTACATGTAAAACCGATTAGCGACAACTCGAGAATCAGGTCAATTAAGATTTCTGTTTTGATTAAAATATTAAGCTAATGAGAAAAAAATTAATTAATTACATGAATATTTTACTTGTATACATTTGCTTGTATGCATTTAAAATATTATTCAAATAATTTAAAGTGAGTTTAACCCTTTAAAACGTAGTACAGTTTTTGAATTTTTGTTAGAAAGATCCAATTACAATCTAAAAATGTGTGTTGGAAATTTTTCATAAAAATATAGTACTAATTATTTTTCGAAATATTATATATTAAATAAAGATTCACAATTAGAATATTCTTTTCTCTTATTATCACTTATTGTAGTTTACATATGTATCGCATGTATTGCGAGAGGGAAATACAGGACTTCATATTTGTTTGTTTTACGAATACGTCATTGCGCCATGAAAGACATGACGAAGGAATTAAATAATCAGGAGGTTTGGCACTTTCTCGCTAACACGTGCGAAGCTTTAGCTGACCCTCGCAATGCATTGCAAGGAGATGACGGTTTACGACTGCGCTTCCACCTGTCGTTTTAGCATTCTTGGCTGAAAATCGCGCACTGCTCACGCCACGTGACTTCGTAAGACAACCAAGCTTGACATAATACAATTTGATTAGATAACAATACATTATATATTCTGTTAAAGTGACGTTCACTTTCAATTAATTCAAGATTTAATTTTGCTGTTTCGTTATCATCATCAGAAAAAAAATTTTTCCGATTTTCAAACAATATGACATACTAAAAATTCTATCAACATGGCTATTACTAAACATTCTACAGTAAACATGATTATTTTTAGAGAATGAAAGTGTCTTGTACATGCGGCTGAATTAGAAAGTGTTAGCTAGTGTTAGAAACTGATGTTGACGGTTTGACAATCGGGCGGTCGAACGCGAATTTTCTAAGTGCATGCTTCTTTAAATTCTGCGGAGCTCGCGTGACTTGTTAAAAGTCCCGGTGGAATCCGCGTGATTGTCTTGAAAGGAACTATGCGAAGGAAAACTTTTGTACATTGTAATATTAATACTGAAACTTTATCGACACTGGCGCGTTACGCGGTAAAATGCGCGGGAAGTAATAGCGATCGTTCAAGTCAATGTCCAAGTTAAAATACTCAACGACAATATCACATAATTATCATCATATAAAAAATCGTTTTAATCTAATGCATTACATTTGTTGTCATTTGTCATTTAAGCATAATCTGCGTGGGGCGACTTAAAAGTAGTAACGCTTCAGTCTGATCAGACGTGCCGTTCAAGCTGACGAGATCTTTTTTTTAGATGGCACAAAAATGATAGCGGTATGATGATGTTCTTTAATTAATAGGCAAATTGTTTTGAGTTTTAACAGTAGAAAGGGAACGGCTATAGCAGACATGCATCGGTCTTGGCGAAACGAGCGAAATGGCTATTCTCGGCCGGCGGTATAAATACGTGATCGCGCGCGCACTCGTGTTACGTAAGTGTTTAAACAAATCTTTGCCAATTATTATAAACAATTCGCCACTTGCAGGCGATTGGCATAAGCTCGACGATCGTCAAGCGTGGCGCACGAGGCTCAAATTGGTATTGCAATAAAAAGGAAACCGTAGACGACGCGCACCGGCCATTGCCAAGTTTTGCTTTCACGAAATTAGAATTCACCGGAGGCGGTGGAAACGAAAGTGCGATCAGCAGGAAAAGCGAAGACGATAAATTTTCAACGTTAATAAGAACTGTCTTATAATTGTATTCGAGACACCGTACACAAGGCTCCTGAATCTTCCGAATTTCAAGCGATTCTTTTACAGTGAAATTATTATCTATTAGAAGCGATTTTATAGATCTATAAATACTTCTGAATAGTTTTTTTGAGTTATTTGTGTTCATTGGTTACGAGAAAATATTTTTCGATCATTAATATTATTGACTTCATGATTATTTATTAATATTATTGACTTCATGATTATTCAAATTTATTGCAATCGATAAAAATTGATGTCTTTAAGGTTTAACTTTGTGGCTTAAAAAGTGAGAAAATAAATAATTGTTTTTTTTTTTTTAATGAATGATACTGTTGGGAATCATACATACATTGAAATATATTTAAATATATCACATAGATACATTTTTAATTATATAATAAGACATTCCAAATTTAAAAACTATTAAAAACTATTAATATCACATTTAAAACGGATATAAAATGTAAAAATGAAATTTATTTTTAGCAGGGAATAAGTTATTAAATAATCTCTTATAATATAATTAACAAATGTTTATTTAGACTGTAAATGCAATTTTTACAGAAAAGTAGCAATAATATATGAATATTTAAATGAACAAGTAGATGCATTACGCAATGACGCAAGTTCGTATTACTCGTCCGTCTCTCTGAAAGACTCGTTACATACTTTTGCGCGGTTGTACTCGATTTTGAACATATAGCTGTCAGAGAGAAACGTCATTTTAAACGGCAACGGGTAGCAATTTAGTCACGCAAAGCAAAAATAGTGTTCTAGACGTGAGATCACGAATGAGGTCGGGATTACGCATAACCGACAACAACATTCTTGCGAGTTAAGGTTAACATATATTAAAATAACATTGAACAAGTTATATCGATCAATGACATTAGATTAAAACTCAGAAAATTTTGCGATTATAAATTTCGAATAATTATCATTAATTTATCGTTATAAGTTTTTGACGAATTATGACAGATTTGACATAATTACAGAACTAATACAACAATTTTTTGTCTACATACATTGTTTTTCATTATGGCTCAATATTATGTTCCAAATGCGTTAAAAAGCTATTAATCTAAATCTGCTTCGTCAATCAATAAGCCTTCGATATTAGTTAGTGACATCATTAATTAGCGAATAGCACACTTGTGAGTATATATATACACATACATAAAAGAATAGAGTAAAATGCAGAGTTGGCTGTTAATGCGATTAACACGCAGTATCGCGTGAATAGTTAGTTCGAAGAGCGAGTTCCTACTAAAGATATGCGACGCAGTTTGCAGCGCAGGAGGACCACGTCTGACCAGGCGCTTCTTTCTTCACTGTCGCACAGTAGATCGCGGACGCGCTCGTTAGGACGCGTTGGAAATCGCTTCTTTTTCACGCGATTGAGGCAAAATCCCTTGCTCCTCCCTTAGGTGCACTCACGTGGGCGCTCAT